CCGTTGGGTAGCACTCTGCGCACAGCCATTGCATGTTACACTTGTTGCAAACGCCCGAGACACTCCTGCAGACTGGTTTCCTACATGCGCCTTCAGGCTTGTTGGCTTTTCCTGGGCATCTGTTCTCCGCCTGAGGCGCACAGCCAGGATTGGGATGCCAACATGCCTTCACCATAGAAACTGTACGGTTGCTCCTTGAAGTAGACCTCGCCCCTGATCTTGGTATTCTGGGTCTCCCCCTGCTCGAAGCATTCGATCTGGGGCGAGTAAAAGCACTGTCGGGTGGTTTGGGCGCATATAAGAGCTACTCATCCGTTGCGTCTTGCGTGATTAGCTGATCATACAGATATATATATATATCTTGTTGTCCGACCATTTCTTCATCCTCAACAACAGCTGGAATAGTGGGTTGCCACTCGCCTGAGGCGGTGGCACTACGGAAGAAGCCTTCCTTTAATGGCGAGACGTTTAGTTCGTAGTCCTCATTCCGTTGCTTCTTGAGGTTAGGCGCAGGAGTTCGCCCAGTGGACTCCCTCTCATGCTTCATCTGAGTCTCCGCCCTGTCCGCCTGAGGCGTCAGGATACTAGTGTCTTCATCGGATCCATCTGGAGACCACCTTTCGTCTTGAGCAGGGATGCTTTCTTCGATCATCACGGACAACGCTCGGCCCAGGGAAATATCATTAATGATGCTACCACAATCTTCCTCCATGTAATATGTTTCGTGATCTTTGTCTATAGGATCATCGCTATCCTGACCGACTTGTCCGTTAAGTGCTATAGGGGTTGGGGCAGTAATTTGCATACCCACCCATTCTACGAGGATGTTAGGATGCGTATTCAGATTCCCTCGGGCCTCCCCTGGCCGGCTGGCTTCGCCATCGGCAATGGCAGTAGCTTGCGGAGCATGCTGGATGGAGCTCATTGACTCCGTCGATTTGGCACTCAGCCTTGATGAGAATGCACCTCGCCTGGGCCTTGGCGCGACGCCATCTCGCCCGCGAGGGTCGGGGGGTTGCTCACGATCACCTATCGGTGCCCCTGCGGGGGGATACGTCTACCGACATTTCGGCCATTCCGTTGGTGCTTCGCCCCCTCATGACCCGATCGGCGACATATGAAGGAGAGATTCGGTCTTGAACAGGACCGACTCTGTCTGTATCGTGTCCATCATGTTGTTCAATTCAACGCGCCTATCAGCGCTTCTCGAGATATTAGACACGACGCTAGTCTTATCATAGCTCTCTCCCGCAGCGGCTGAATCGCGGGGCACGACTGAAAGATATTCTTGTCTATCTAATGGCCCCGCGTCGACTGAGTCGCGCGCTTCGACTGAGTCGCGCGTTTCGGAATGGGAAGGGAGGAGGACGGCCAAGGACGGACGACGACGAGCCGCCCGCGCACCCCAGCGCGCTCCTTTTCTATCCTGCCAGCCGAGGTCGGCTGGCCCGAACAGTCGCATGGCAGCGGAAACGCAACTTCAGTTCACGCGGACAGTGCAATGCATGCAAGCTAAGTTAATTTCTAATTGAGTATGAGGCGGAGAGGAACATATTTACTATTATAGCCGGCTGTTCGTTCGCTACGGCGATGTTACCTGTTGTACTATATGACTCACTTGTGTACATGCAGAAGTATTGGCCATCGTTATCCCTGCATGTCATGGTAGACGATATAACGATACCAGCGCTCGGTTCGGAGAAGTTCGTCAGATAATCCCTATCTAGAGCATTCCCAGCACTCTGCAGCCGACTGGGCAAAATGGGGTTTTCAGTGTCTAGGAAGAAGTGCCAGATCGTCGCGTCGTCCAGCAAGTTTGCGCAGGATCTTGGCACCAACCTCAAGAGTGCAAATTTCAAGTTGTGCTCGAGTGTCAAGAACCTCGGGCGCGACTTCAGCCAGCAGGTAAGGAAAGGTAAGAGAGTTCTGAAAGGCCGTGTGAACAACCTCCGCAAGAGGTCTCATCGGTTCCGAGCTCTCCGACACCACATGCGGGGGCTATCAAGAGTGTTCCGAACTGGAGGCTTAGCGTCGGCTTCGTATGGAGTCAGAGTGTGTGGCATGAATGATACAGATCTCTCTAACCTTCGAGCGGCGTCGGCTTTCGCCCTCTTCGGCAAGGCCAAGGGCAGGTCCAGGGCGGCGCAGCACCTGTTGCATGATCCGCCGGGCCTCGACCCAGCGTACCTGATAAACACCCTGCCCCTCACGACGTGGCTCCAGGCGCTCCATGAAGGTTGGGCTCCTCAGGGCGTCATGCAAACCATCTTTGAGGCCGGCTTGTCCAAGATCAGTCTGGGGTGGGCTACCGTGCGTGGCCCTGGGGGAGCTGTAGCATTGACTTTGCGTCGTCTCGGGTGGCAGATCAGGTCTTTCAAGCTTTGGGTGGATCCTCGAGGGCGTGTGGAAGACCTCGAAAAGGTTAGCATCAAGACCCTCAAAGGAGCTGCAAGCGGCTAAACATATGGGCTGGAATGGGACCCCCTTCTTGGACCCGATCAAGGCAGAGCTGCAGGTCCGTCGGGCCAAAGGTCAATCTGTGTCGGCTGATCTTGTTTCAATACACATGTCAGGCGGACTGTAGACGCAGTCAAGATTTTCGAAGAGCGGTATTCCTTGACGTCCGCCAGCAGGTGGTGCGGACATCCTTCAGGCACGATATCGCACCGACTTTACGGATGCGACGGCTTAGAGGCATGGCGTCGTGATCAAGGACGTGATGAGGTCGTGTCGATCGGTCGTGAGTTTCCAGGGAACTGCTTAGTCGACTTTGGGGTCACAGACAGTATGAGAGACGCCATGCCTCCGCCCTTGCAAGAACACGAATGTCCTCAGCGCGGTCTCCTAGGCTGTGGTTACCTCGGAGAAGAGATCTTTATAGGCGGATCGGGAGTCAACCCAGATGTGGAGTGGATGGCGAGGGCAGGATGGGCGGTCGTTTCTCTCAAGCATTGCAGCGAGCAAGTTTCAGCGGTGGCCTACGGGCCAGTGCCAGGGACCGTGCAGAGTGCGGGCTTGGCAGAGCACTACGCGTTCTACATGGCTTTGTGTCTCATGGGGCCCAGGGCGACTATAATCACGGACCACAAGAACCTCCTGATAGGTCTCCAGAAGGGCCCCGAGCAGATGTGCAGAGCTTCAGAACCTTATTGGGAAGTCTGGCGACTTATATTCTGGAAGTTGAATGACGTAGGTTCGGAACATGTGAATCTTCAGTGGATGCCGTCGCACAAGAGTAGGACGTGGCTCAATAATCACGATTCCTCGGACTCCTGGTACCCTGGAAACTGGCAGGCTGATAAGTATGCGAGGCTGGGGGCTATAGAGCATCCTGTAGTTCCCCAGCTGGATCAAGGATGCAGGCGGCCAAACACTTCGGTAGGCAATTCACGAGGCTCCTGGCAGGCTCTCTGAAGCGTCTCAGTAGTGTAGGGTTTCCAAATGTAGATAAGGTCCCGAGGGCTACAAAGGTCCCCGGGCAGATCCAGACGGTAGGCGAGGAACCCCTGTGTGCTAAAACTCACCATGGGAGATCGAGGCCACCTGCTGCACACAGCTGACGGCAGGTGGGGATGCAGAATTTGTGGAGTGAATGCTGCTCGTCGAAGTGCGATCATCCAGAATGAGTGTCTAGGCAAGCCGAGAGTGCTTGCGCGGACGCACGAGACTCATCGAATATGGGTGATCGGCTCGGATTTGTATTTCTGCATGCAGTGCGGATGCCACGCGCGGAAGCAGGTCAAGGACTTGGCCGCGCGCTGCCTCCGCTCTGCTGGGACGGGGAAGGCTGGGGCTTTGAAGTACATGCGCCAGGGCATGGATCCCACATCCAAGAAGTTTGTGGGGCGCCCCTTCCCAGTCCATTAATTTTCCCCATCGGGCCAGTCTTTCACTGAGGGATTGCGTCCGCAGAGGCTCCAGAGGCTCCAGAGGAGGAGGAGGAGGAGGAGGAGTACGAGGAGGTGGAGGAGGAGAAGCCGATGCGCCAGGCAACTCTGCTGGTGCAGAGGGCTGGCACGTCGGAGCAATGCAAGGCCGGAGACCTGCCGTGGCAAGGAGGCCGCGCGGGGCGGGGCGGGGCGACGGCGGGAACTTGCTGCTGCCTGTGGTTCCCCCTGGCAGCAGGCGGGCACGAGGGACAAGAGCGGCACAAGGGAGATTGGGCCGCCCGAGGTGCAGCTGGAGGCGACGAGGGCGCAGGCCGTGCCGCAAACGAATGATGAGGGGCTGAAGAATATACAGTAGGAGCTCGACCTCAAGAGACCCTCCACAAGAAACCCAACCCTGAAACCTCAGGGCGCCTCCTCCTCCTCCTCCTTTTCCTTCCTCCTCTTTCCTCCTCCTCCTCCTCATCCTCCTCCTCCTCCTCATCCTCCTCCTCCTCCTCCTCCTCCTCCTCCTCCTCCTCGTCCTGCTCCTCCTGCTCCTCCTCTTCCTCTTCCTGCTCCTCTTCCTGCTCCTGCTGCTGCTCCTACTCCTGCTCCTCCTGCTCCTCCTCTTCCTCTTCCTGCTCCTCTTCCTGCTCCTGCTGCTGCTCCTACTCCTGCTCCTCCTTCCCCTCCTCCTCCTCCTCCTCCTCCTCCTCCTCCTCCTCCTCCTCATCCTCATCCTCATCAGCATCAGCATCAGCATCAGCAT